GTAATATAATACTCCGTAATTTGTATTTGTATACCTTCATGGCTTTATGTGTGTGTGTTTTGAAAGAAATCCAATTATCGGATTACGGTTAATGAATTATTTGTTTGGGTTCTTTAAATAGGGAACGATACTTCCAAAAGTGTGTCACGTTTGGTTTTGCTAAGATTAATCATTCTCTAAAAAGTGAAATTTGTATTGTTAGAATTACTCTGTATATTACAATTACAATTCTTTGAAACAATGTTCAATCATAATAGATCGATTGTGGTTCATCTTGAGTGGTTTTGTGTCACTTCAAAATAAATTTAATATTCCGTGCAACGCACGGGTAAAAAACTAGTATGAAGTAATCTAATTAATTCCCCTCTTGTTCCCCTTAATAATCAAAGCAGCCCATTGGTGGCGGAAGGGGCAATAGTGACAAGTAGTTCGCTGGCATATAGTTCCAAAGGAGGCGGAGGTGCCTACCAAAGGCAATGTTCATGCAGTCTGGCTGCATCGGTGACTGGAGGCAAAGTTCCGATAGCCTGACGCTGACAACAGTTTGATGGCGGGCCCAACCGGTGGAGTAGTATTTCAAGTACAAAAAGGATTCTTATTTACATAATTTTGAACATTAATTTCTATCTTTGCATCTTAACATATTTTACTTCTATTGAGAGAAATGATATTTCACTCAAGCGTTGCATGGGACGTAAAATGCAGATATTACATGTAAATATCTAAATGTAATTATAGATATATTGTTTTTTATCATGTGAATTGAATGAGGGTAGACCCTACATTAATAAATAAGAAATAACAAATCCTTCGTATTAGAAAGTAAATAAGCACATTTTATAAATTATTAAAAACTTCCTTATAAATAACATTTTTTGAATTGGGCAATCTTTCTGATTTTCCTTGAGACGAGATTGTCACACCGCGGAATAGATAATAACCTGCAAAAAAGTATACTTTTACCAAAATAAAAACTGTCTAAAGGAATGTGATTATGTGATAATGAAGATCTGATTTGTTTTGTATCAGTTTTGTCTTGGAAGGCCGGTCAATACAAATGCTCCTCAATTATTTACACCTTCACTATCTCGTGATTTTGCAATATAATTGGACATCTGGAATGAGAACATAGAATTTAAGAACACATATTATATTACACTTCTTAGGATTAAATTAAAATTCTATTTTTTAAAATCATATAAACATTTCATATGCAAAATAGAAATTTGGGTATATGAGCTCTATTTCAGTACATTGAATCACAATATACAATATTCAAATATAAAGGGCAGATCACATCAGGCCAGTTTGACGGCTAGAATTGATGAAGAACATGCTCAAAAAATTCATCAAAACATTCGACCGGGAGGGCCCCCAAACGAGCTCGGTCAAACGGCGAGGCCTATCAGACCGGCCTGACAAGGGTAGATCGAGTAACTTATCAATAACAACCAAGCATACTTCAAATCTATGATCACCCCCCATGATCACCCCATATTTACTTTTAGCAAAACATGCATTGAACCTTGAAAACTGGTTAATGAATTAACGAGATTGTAAATTTTTGTTATTAATTTTGCATGAATAGTAAAATGCATGTGAGACCCACACCAGGAGCAGGGACCACCCGATGTTTTTGGGACCACATATTATATTCATTTTGGTTTAGATAATATTTATATGATGGTGTATATTCATGTTGGGCCATAGAAAAGGCATAGAGTTGACCGGTTGGTCAAACGAGGCCCAATTACCGGTATTGATAATTTATGAGATAACTGCCCGTAATAAATTTCAGAGACTACTAAATCAAAGTTGGGGAATATATATTTATTCTAGACGCACATATCAATGGGAAGGATGATATATATTTTATTTGACCCAGTAAAATTTAATTTAATTAAAACAGTCCGAGAAATACAATTTTCGGGACCAACTGTACACTTCGACCGGGGCCCAAAAATCAACTTGAGACAACAAAATAATACTATGAATGAGAGTATGGGTTGGAGATGGAGAGGTTGGGCGAGATTGGACTTGAGGTGGACCTCTTCTCCTCTCTTCCTCTCTTATTGTGCTAAAGAGACAAAAGGGAGTCTCTTTCCTTTATCCCTACCTCCTAGCTCATCCAAGCCATCCATATTGAGAGAAGAAGCTCTGCAAACTCCTCCTCCATAGACCAAAACTCGAGCTCAAGCAAAGGGAAGTTCAAAAGGGAAGATAAAGTAGGAAAAAGATAGGAAAAACTTGATGAGGAAGCGATCCAACCCTGCTGATCGCCGACTCACTCTCCCTTATGGGAAGTCCCGGGTTCAATTATTGCAGTTTACCCCAGCCCCCGAACCCCCCCTCCCCGACGCCCTCTGGGGTAAAAAAAGAGATAGGAAAAGCTTGAGAAATCAAGGTAAGGCACTACTACATTTTCAAGTCACAATGTCGTAGAAGCCACAATGCATGCACATATTCTCCAAACTCTCATAGCCGATTTGAAACTCATTTCCATCCAGTTCATACTCACCCAACATGGGTTGCGAGAGATCCAAGTCAACACATGCACGAGCAAAACGGATGCATTCCCCAGATGCAGTTGCCGCATCAACCCGGATGGGTTTGCGACCGTAACCAGCGATACGCGTGACAACGATAATTCTAGAAGACGTATCCACGTAAGAATTTTCTTCAGCGGGGCATGTACATTAAAGTTTGGTGTCCATTACGAGACTGCTATATAGTAATTAAAAAACTTCCAAGGCCCACCATAAGAAGCTAGAAGGTAGTCTTCCTTGGCCGAAAATTGAACGACATAGTAGTGGTTTGTCATGTCCGAGACTTGTATGATCCCTTGAATCGCTCACAATGTCTCAAGTCGCTTCTTGACAGCTAGGAAGGGTTAGTCGCCCACAATGTCTCAAGTCCCAAAATTAATAAGGGTTGGTTTGCAACTCCTTTTAAAAGCACTTCTTAGCTTTTGGCTTTAAAAAAGCACTTAATTTCTCAAGCACTACAACTTTTATTTTTCTCGGCTTCCGCGTCAAAAGTGCTTTTACTTTTTCTATTACACAAAAAGCACTCATTTTACCAAACATTACCCACTTTTACTTTTCAAAATCACTTTTTTCTCAAACACTATCAACTTTTATTTAATCATTTCTCCTCATTTCATTAAAAAAAACACTTTTTTAAAAGCAGAAGTTGTTGCAAACAGACCCTAAGTATTTCGGTCTAGAGAATCTATTTCTAGAGTTATTCTACAAGTGATAGGACATATGAAGATATACTATATGTATTTTCTAGAATATGTAATTAATGAATGTATCTTTCTAGAATATCTTTCTATGAACACTTGTAAGTCCATTTGTACCAATTCATAAGAAAGGTGCCATCAATAAAAATAGTTTCTCTCCATAAGCCTCACTCCTCCTCCACATAAATACACACTTCATTACTAAAATACGTACTCTTCCTCTCAAATATTATATATTAGCAGGAACCTCAGCTCTTTTAGGATGTGCAATAAGTGCTTGGCACCGGAGCCCAATCTTGTAGTTGCCGTCATTTTTCTAGATGTTATGTATTATCCACTAGTCAAAAAATTATATAACTTTTAGAATGTCTAATTAGTGTACTTTAAACACCATAAAACATATATTTCATGGAATTATATAGGCTATTTGTATTGCATTTGCATAGTTGAATTTTGTATTTTTTATTTTATTTTAGAAGGCCTCAATTTGTAATTTGAAAGTGGGGCCTCCAATTTTTTTAAACGACCCTGTATATTAACCCAATGTTTCCAACAATCACATACTGCGCCATGCCGCTTAAGACTTGTGATCGATCGACGGTTAACCATGAAATTAAAACCTCAAGATGATGTTGTGAACACAGACCTTACCAACTAACCCAATGGCGGACTCACTGCGTGAAATCCTAAACAAACTGCATAATTGAGTCTACTGCAGGGCCGGCTTGAGGATTGTAGAGGCCCTAGACGAAAAAACACTAAACGTTGAGTCCGTTAAAATCTTTTTTTTTTTAAGTGCCGATTAATCGGTTATGATAGTACATGGAAAATAAATTGATAAACTTTTTATATAGGACCAAAACATAAAACAAAAGTGTACAAATAGGATTAATATTGTTTTCCCAAAATAGGACCTATTTCAGAAATAAAATACATGTAGACTTATTACAGCAATTTCTTATAAATTTTAGTCCTATTTACATCAATTTTTAAAATAATTTTTCGTGTATCAGTCCGAACATGTCCTACATATTTATTAAAAAGTTTTCACATAAATGAATTACGAAAGGCCGAATTTAAAAAAATCACAAATCAAAATAAATGGTTGGTGTAAGCTCGAATTAAATAAATGCTTACTCATAATTTATAAACTAAATTATTTTAAAGCACTATTTTTAATTTTGAAAAATAGAGACAATTTTTTGCATTTAATAATACATTATATTGTTGCAAATTTTAAAGTAACAACAAAAAATGAAAAGTTCTACGGTTGGAGAGCAGCAAAATTATACTAGTATAGTGTAATTATTATAAAAACACGGATAGTCATAAATCAATAATAACACAAAATGGATGAAACTACAAGTCTAAACCGACTCTAAAATTGTAGAAACTACAGTTCTGTAATTTTTTTTCTATTGTGGTTCATAAGTCTATAATCCTCCTTCAATTTTAGTCTTTTCGGGAATTGGCAGTGGAGTAAATGACCACCTTGTTACGCTCAGGACATGGAAATATGGGATATGCTGCTTTTAACTCTTCTAACTCAAAATTGAAATATAAAAAACTTAAAAATATACGGAGTAATACCTAGTAATTACTACCTAGTTCGTAATTACTAGTAATTTTTCAAAGATGAGGCCCTTTAGAAATAGGAGGCCCTCGGCACTTGCCTAGGCTAACTCCCCTTGGAGCCGGCTCTGGTATCACAATATATAATAAGTGTAGTGTATGATTAAAATCACAACAATCACAACACAAAAATACTGCGTACTATTTATATATAGAGTCACTCAGCTCCATTAATCAAGTATTAATTTATCAGTATTTTTATTTAGTACTATTGTCTTGAGATTAAGAAATGAAGTACTCCTTGAAAGGATAGATCGATTACAATATAAACGTAGTAGTGTCACTAGTGTGGGTGATGGGTTCCGATAATAAGTTTGATATGATGATGTGATGCTGAATCTCTTTTATTCTTGAGGGGTGAAATTTAGACTCATTGCTTCGTTATCCAACTTTGTATAATTTTGACTTCAGTATCCCGTTGTTGAGTTAACCATGCTGGGTCAGTTTTCTTTGCCCCATGCAGATCCAAACAATGAGATCCTAAAATTCATACCACAAACAAAACTTACCAATGATATAAAATACAATAATACATAATAATTCGGAAAAACTGCCAAATAAGTCTGGCATCTTACTTCTTCAAAAACTTAAATTAAGTCCTCATGCTCAAGTCTGACCTATCAAACCCCCTTTAATAAGTTGTAAAAAAAGTACCCATCCATAAGTGATTTAGAAGTCAAAATTTCTTTTCTATCCAGACATGCATCCTATGAACTAAACCGCTTGCCACCGAAAAGTGATATAAAAGGGTAGTTGCAAAGATCCAAATTAATTCGTCTCCAATATATAATTTTTTTTCAACTCCGGGGGATTGGGGGAGGGGGTCTGGAGTAATAAGGGATGAAGCTCACTCCATTGAGTTTCGAACCTTTATATGCCTAGCGGGTTTCGAACTCAAGACCCCCACTAGGCGCGGTAACCTCACAGCCAGCTGAGCTGGAATGCTTGGTATCCTGACTCTGGGGCTTCGGCTCACATGACTCCTACGGAAGGTATTTTAGTCAATAAATAAATTTATACTGGACCACTCTCTGTTAGTGTTGCTAATGGCTCTAAACTTCCCATTACTAATATTGGAGATGTTCATTTAACTTCCTCCAGTCGTCATCTCACGTTAAAATATGTTTTTCATGTGCCTCACATTAAATTTAATTTATTGTCTATACAAAAACTTTGTGCTGATAACAACTTTGTTGTAATTTTTGATAAAAAATTCTTTTTTGTTAAGGACAAAATTTCGGGGATGCTCCTTCTTCAAGCTCCTAGTCAAGGTCATCTCTATCCAGTCAGCCTCAACCCTCAGCCACCGCTTGCCTTGTCTTCTCGCACTTCGTCTGGCCCGATTTGGCACCGTAGATTAGGCCATTGTGGCACCTCTATTTTACATACTTTACAGAGTCAGCGTCATATATGTAGTAGCTCTAGTTTTTCTCATGACTGTATTTCTTGCCGATTAAGCAAATCTCAACGTTTACCCGGCCTTTATGGATGCTACTCATAATTCTACAATGCCTTTACAATTAATTCATTCTGATGTTTGGCAATCTCCCATTTTATCTAATTTGGGTTTTAAATATTATGAGTGTTTTATTGATGATTTTTCTCGCTATACTTGGATATATCCCATGCGTGTAAAGGCAGAGGTTTTTCAGCATTTTAAAAATTTTAAAGCCTTGGTTGAAAATCTCTTTAATACAAAAATTAAAAATTTTCAAAGTGATGGAGGGGGTGAATTCGTTAATTTTAATATGCAGCAATTTTTCGACACTCATGGTATTTATTTTCGCAAATCTTGTCCTGACACACCTCAACAAAATGGGGTTGCTGAACGTAAACATCGACATCTACTAGAACTTACTAGGACTATGCTTCTTGAAGCATCTATTCCTAGTCAGTTCTGGGTATGGGCTGCTTTTATTATTAACTGTTTACCCTCTCCCTTACGTGGCGGATCCTCTCCTTATGAACGACTTTTCCAAAAATCTCCCAATTATTCTTTTTTGCGTGTGTTTGGCTGTTCTTGTTTTCCAAACATTTCTACATCTTCAGCAAACAAACTTTCAGCCCGTTCCGTTCACTGTGTTTTTATTGGCTATGCATCTGGTTATAAAGGGTATCGTTGTTTGGGACCTAAGTCTGGTAGAGTATATGTCAGTCGTCATGTGCGGTTTCTCGAAAACAGTTTTCCATTTACATCATTAATGTCTTCCTCGTCCGAGTCACCATCTTCCCCTGACCATTCCTAGTTTATTCTCACTAATACCACACGGCCACCATTACCACTCCCTCGGCCGCACTAGTCCTCCCACCACTATCACTGCCCTCCCTTGATCATGGAACTTCGCTCCCGATGACAGATCATGTTCCCAGCACATCCTCGTCCAGTAGTTGTCCAGTCACACCCGCGGCCAGCCCCTCTTCTCCGACCTCGGCCACCTAATCTTCTGCCCCACCTTCAGCCCGAGCCACTCCTACCTCCAGTTCTTCTTCTCAGTCACATTCGGCCAGCACTACGTCTCAGACAACCAGCCCGGAAACTTCTCCTCTTACCAGCCCAGCCCGTCCCCAGTTAATTAAATGTTCATCCTATGAAAACCCGGGCTAAGTCCGGTATTTTTAAACCCAAATCAATTTTTACATTAAACACAGTTGTTACGGCAGCCGATCCGACATGTTATTCTGAGGCATAGAAACATTTAATTTGGCGTGAGGCTATGACAGATGAATTTAATGCGCTTATTTCCAATAATACTTGGGATTTAGTTCCGTTTGATAGCTCTAAAAATGTGGTTGGGTCTAAATGGATTTATAAAACTAAATTTCACTCCGATGGATCCATTGAGCGCCATAAAGCCCGTTTGGTTGCTCAAGGATTTAATCAGCAGGCTGGTGTAGATTTTTCTGAGACTTTTAGTCCTGTCGTTAAACCCACCACAGTTCGTATTGTTCTTACTCTTTCTATTTCTTTTGGGTGGGTTATGCGTCAGTTGGATGTGAAAAATGCATTTCTTCATGGACATCTTACAGAGGAAGTTTATATGCGTCAATCGCGGGTTTTTATTCATCCTCAATTTCCTCATCATGTTTGTCGTCTGCGAAAAGCTATTTATGGTCTTAAGCAAGCCCCGCGGGCGTGGTTCCATCGTTTCAGCAGTTTCTTACTTACTCATAATTTTGTGTGTAGTAAGTCTGATAATTCCTTGTTTATTTATTTATTATTATATGTGGATGATATTATTATTACTAGTAATTCTCCATCTCTCGTGTCTTCATTTATTGGTCGTATTGCTTCTTGTTTTGCAATGAAAGATCTCAGTGATCTCCATTATTTTCTGGGAGTTCAAGCTGTTTGAAACTCTAAAGGTCTTTTTCTGTCTCCGCAAAAATATGTTTCTGACCTCCTTCTTCGTTTTCAATTACACACTCTCAAGTCCGTTCGTACACCACTGCCTACTCGCACTTCTCTCTCTTTCACTGATGGTGAACTTCTTGTTGATGCTACTGAATATCGTAGTATGATAGGTGCATTGCAATATTTAACTTTGACAAGATCTGATATTACTTATGCAGTTCATTTAGTGTCACAATTTATGCATGCCTCACGGACCACTCACATGCTTGCTGTCAAGCGTATATTTCGTTATTTACAGGGTACCATTGATCATGGACTATGGCTTCAGAGTTCAACACGTCCCATCTGTATTTTGGCATATTCGGATGCTGATTGGGCGGGCTGTCCGGATACCTCACGTTTCACTACAGGTTTTGCTGTTTTCTTTGGTCCTAATCTTGTATCTTGAAAGTCCAAGAAGCAGCCTACGGTATCTAAGTCTTCTACGGAGGCTGAATATCGAGCCATAGCATACACAGTCCAGGACACGCTACACATTCGTTCGATCTTATCTGAGCTTGGCTTTGCGGTTCGAGACCCTGTGAAACTCTTCTGTGATAATATTTCTGCTTCTTATCTGACAGCAAACCCAGTTCAACATGCTCGAAGCAAGCATATTCAGATTGATTATCATTTTGTTCGCAAGAGAGTTGCTCATGGTGATTTGTTAGTAAAATATATTCCTACACATTTACAGCTGACAGATATCTTTACTAAAAATTTATCTAGTCAGCAGTTTCATTTTTTGAAAGACAACCTGCGCATTGTTCCTCCCGCACAGCTTGAGGGGGTGTAATAGTTAATATAAATTAGGAATCCTTGTGTATTTTGGCAACTCTTATTTAATATAATTATACCTATCAGGGCTCCTATTGGAGTACCCCTTTCCCATTATTTCACATATACGTCTCCAATATTAATCAATTTATCTTTGTTATGTTTTATACCTATCTTTGAAGGAGCTTTTGTGTTAAAAGTCTTAAGAAGACAAAGATGTAGTGCAACAAAATAAATTATTAGTGGACTTCCGATGGGTTCAGCTCCTCTCCATTTCCCCTCAATTTCTTTTTTACTTCCTATCTATCTCTATATTTTTCTCTATCCTACTCACCAACCTACTCCACCCTTAAATTTCTCCTCTCTATCTCTTTCATAATGGAACTCTCCGGTCACTACTGGAATCCACATTCACTTCCGATCAGCCCCAACAATGCACGTGAATAGACAAAGAGATGGTATATCCTAAACGATACGAGCAACCGGAAACTAAACTTCAAATCCTAAACGCTAAGACACGAGAAACCGGAAACTAAACTTCAAAATGAGGCATTGGAAATTTGGAATTGAGTGCTTTGAACAACTTTGAGACAATGAGACCCTTATTGGAGTTTTTAAAATATAAGGATTTTTATTGTTTCTTATAAAGCATGATGACTTTTTGTGAGTTTCCCCTACTACTAATAATAATACCCCCTATTTTTTGTTTGCTACACTTTTTTTTGTGAATGTATTCAAAAATTTGCTACACTTTCATTTTTTAGTATGTTTTTCCTTTAAAAATACTCAATTACCCTTACTTTTTCTACTTTTTATCTTCTCTTTCATACTTTTCCACCATCTTTCCTACTTTTTCTACACTATCCATTACCCCTATTATTTCACTCTTAAAAAATGTGTCAACATCTATTGTACTCCCTCCGGTTTTATTTAATCTTCACACTTTGACTTCACACAAAATAAGGAAAGAAATTTGACTTTACTATTGAGTACACTGTTGAGGCACTGTTTAACACTGTTTGGCACTGTAGAGACACTGTTTGGCACTGTTGAGACACTGTTTGGCACTGTTTGGCACTGTTTTGATGTAGATTTCTTTGCCAAAAAAGGAAATAAGGAAGTGTGAAGTTTATTTTAGACCGTCCCAAAAAGGAAAGTGTGAAGTTTATTAAAAACCAGAGGGAGTATTAAACAAAAAATACTGAGGAGTATTGAATCAAATACAAATTAGTGTGTTAAGTGGTGAAAGCTTGATGCATTTATAAAAGAGTAACTAAATTCTACTCCCTCCGTATCACATATATCTTCCCACTTCCAAAGTGGGTGAGATTAAGAATAGTGAAATGAGGTATGAATTATTGAGGGTATGATGGGAATATGGTGAAATAATGTGATGGAATGAAGGATAATCCAAAAAAAGTAGGTGTAGTAGTGTATTATTTTTTAAATTATTGAGGGTATGATGGGAAGATTTAGAAATGAGAAGATATAAATGTTACATCCAAAAAAGGAAAGTGGGAAGATATGAATGTTACGGAGGAAATAATATTTTTTTGTAGATAACAGATATATGTTCAAAACTTCAAATATGTACAAATAAAAGGGTGGACCATGCACCGCCCCTTGAAGCCCAAAGTGCTCCGTCCTAAATCCTAATTGATCTCATCTAAGAAATTTAACTTGTTATTAGACTATTTTCTCTTATTCATACAATATGTAGATATAAAGTTAAATATATATCTAAAAGATAACACAAGCATTTCGTTCAAACAGGATCGCAATTGTTTTTCCCCAAAATAGGAACAGTTCACCCCAAAAGTAGTTTTAGCCTCCTTTGTTTTATTATAACCATATAAATTGTATTCTTAGGATAAAAAATTATCATTAATCCTATTTGTGAACTTAATCAATTCCAATTTTACTCTTGTTATACGTACGTAATTCCTTTTGGAGAAGAATTATGTATGATCCCTAACTATTGGAGAAGTGTTATCTTAATACCCCCAATGTACACACATGTAAAAAATGATATTAATATCTTAAATTTTACATTATAAATTATCTCATAAGCATAAATTGAAAATTATTTATTTCACAAATGGAAGGTTAATGAGAATTTAACCAAAATAGGACTAAAAAGGTTTGAAAATTCCAAAATAGGACTGACACATTTTTATTCCCAAAATAGGACTAATTACTGCCATGTTTTGGCAGTACCAGACTTCAAACATGGCAGTATTTTCCAAACTTGGCAGTAATTACTCCTATTTTGGGAATAAAAAACATGACAGTCCTATTTTGGAATTTTCAAACTGTTTTAGTCCTATTTCGGGAACTTTCCCAAGGTTAATTAAGACGGAAGTGCACATTCCTGATTCCTGAATGTTTAAAGTATTTAAAATGTGCACTTAACACCATATATATTTGCCAAAAAATGAACAGAGGTCTCGATCTCCCTCTCGCTTTCATGATCAAGACAAAGAGGTCAATGTCCCTCTTAGACCAGTTGCAATCCTGGGGTGGATATGATAGATTTGATCTTTGCACCCTCAAATTCCATACAACCCTTGTATTTGAAGAGGGATAATGGGTTGGTGAAACTTTGGGTGTGGGACTAACCATCCGTGTATTCACTCCACTCCAAAATAATAAAGGAAGTTGCTGATTAATAATTGGGAGCCATGCTGCCAAAACTTTGTCAGAAGAAAAGCAAGAGCATCGGTAATGTGCACTGAGCTATTTGACATTCCAAAAACATTTATTTAGTGGATAGATGAACGGCTGGGGTTAATTGAAACCCATTTCAATGGGATTAAAAATGATCCAAGGGATAAGTTTAAAACATTTATTTTGTGGCTTTTCCCATTTCTTGCAATGTATGTGGATTTATTCCTCCGTTTTTGTTAACTTAATCACACCTATGTGTCTTAGCTTTATGATATTATTATTATATTAATAATTTGTGTCATTTTTTAATCTTAATATATAGTCCACGCTATTAATGCCGCTAAAAGAATTAACATAGTAATTTAGTAAATAAAGTAATATTATATACGAGTAGTATAACATATTGTAATTGTTGGCTAGATTATCTCTCTCAAAAAAGTTAGATTTTATTTAAAATTACATGTATAGTAACACAAGTGTGCATTATTTTATATATGCGAAAAATATAAAATCCAATTTTTTTATTTTTACATCGGAATGTTTGGTTTTTTAGATAATAATTATTCTTAATTTTTTTCCCGTAAAAAATGATGTATAATAATAAAAGTAAGGATTTATGAATTTAATTAAGAAAAACTGTGTTGGGTGAATATATTGACGGTGCTGGATTGCAGAAGAAAAATTAAATTGACTGGGTGAATACACTTTTTTCGTATAAACTGATTGGAAACTTAATTTATTGACGGAGCAGGGTTGCAGATAGTCTTAGAGTCACAGACACAGACACCTTTTAGAGTCACTACATCTTCACCTTTTAGCGAAAAAATGTATCGGGCGCCTAGAACGATTTTTAGAACAGAGGTCTCTCCCTCTCGCTTTCAAAGTTTTTTCGTTCTTCTTCAAAACTTTTATTTTGATTTTCTAAAGAAATGTGTAATTTTCGAATTTTCTGATTAACGGAGGGATATAGGGCTGTTCTTCACCTGACTGTGAGGTTGAAGGGGGTTTTGGGTCCGACACAACTGTTTCAGAAGGATATATACTGACACTCTCATCAGATGAAAAAACAGGTTCTTTCGTTTCGCAGAACTGTCCAATGAGTGATGCTTTTACTGAAACTTTTAGTTCAGTCATTAAACTCACCACAGCTGAGCGCTATAAGTACTTGATGTTAAAAATGCTTTTTTTTCATGGTCATCTCACAGAGGAATTGAAGTCTACATGTGTCAACCGCGGGGGTTTATTCATCCTCAATATTCTAATCATTTTTATCGATTGCGCAAGGCCATTTATGATCTTAAGCAAGCCCTCACTGCTCCTTGTTTCATCATTTTAACAACTTTCTTCTCACACATAACTTTTGTGGTAGCAAGTCTGATAACTTCGTGTTTATTTTTCGTTAGAATTATTCTGTCATTTATTTATTACTTTATGTAAATAATATTATTAATATTGGTAATTCCTCCGATCCTCTCTTGTCCGTAATTTTATTCGTCTTATTGCACATCATATGGCTATGATGTTCAGTCTGTTTGTAACCCTCGGGGTATGTATGTTTGTTTCCCAACACAAAAATAAAAGAATCAAGTTCAACACATAAAAAATTAACAACTTATTCTCATTGTATGCTCGGACAGAGAATTTACTTTATCTATTTTGTTTTTTTATTTTAGTGATTTGTTTTTCTGTTGTGTACTTTTTTCGTTGTTGTTATTCCTGCTTGTAAAACGTTGGGTTTGGATGTGGGTGATGAGAGGATTGCGATAACTGTCTTTGGCTCTTTTGTGCTCATTTATGGATCAACGAATTACATTGCTTATGTGGAGGTGATTAATTCAGAGTGTGGTTCGCGGGACGGCGGTTGTCACGAATTATTATATGCATGGTGCTATGGAAACTTCTAAATATAGTTTGATCATGATGTATTTATTAATAATGACTAAACACTTGAGTTCATTAAATGACATACCTTTTGGTGTATAGACAGCAAGTATGGTATCTGATATGTTCTGTAAAACCCTATCAACATAACGTAAAAAAACTTACTCAATCGAATAGATGATATTTCCGTTATAATTAAATTTAATTCGAAATGTAATTAGTAAGATATTCATAAAATAGAGTGTTAATATTAGTGTGTTCAGTTACCCTCCGATGCTGTACGGGTCTCTTAAACCATTGGAGAAAATTATGTTACTGCCAAACCTCTTCAGAATAGATTTAATATCCTGCAATTTGAATATAAAATGATTTGCAAAATATAAAATACCTTTAGTTAGGGAGGGTAGAGTACAGCGTAGCTAGCAAAACACAAAATTTGCACCCTATTTTTCAAAAAAAAAAAAAAAGATCCGAAAAAATTCTTTAAAATTCTTTGATTTATCGACGGAAAAAGTTTAGGAGCACAGCTCACGTGCAGTTTTGTCAATGAAAAATTATTGGGATAAAATTAAATTTGAAGTGAAATTTTCAATTCACAATAAGATAAAAATACAGCCGTTTTTCTAATCAAGAGTATTTCTCCGTATATTTTTTAAACAATTAAAATATATAACCAAAATAAAAATAATGCACAAAAAAGTGACTAGTAACTTTAGAAACTATATTGTGATAAAATACAATGTTACATCGTAGTAACTACAAAACTTACTCATAATAACTTATAGTCAATTTTTTGTCTGATCCATAATTGTTTTATTAGTAACATTTTATGAAAAAGCTCTATATTTTTCCAATTAAAGTAGGAGTAAGATACTACAATAATGTAATTATATGCTGTCATATAGTATTAATACGCACTAATAGAATATCGAATATCAATATTCAATATAGAACAATACATTTTTGTATATTATTTACTATTCCCACCGTCCCATATAAAAGTTCTCATTTTCATTTCATAAAACAATTAATAATTTTAAATGACAAATTAATCATTAAATATTAAAAATAATACATTTATAAAATCACAGCTCTCAAAATATACCTATAAAAATTATTTCTCAAAATACACTTGAACTACATTATGTTTAATTATTGTCTAATAAACAACCTTGTCATTTTGCCATGGGAACCTCTCAACGGGACGGATGTAGTACTATTTAAAGAAAAAGACAATATATACTAACTTAAAACTAATATTGTATAGACAAATGACGACGGCCGGACAGAGTCTCTTATATAAGGACTTAAAACTAATATTGTATAGTACATTTTACCCTTTTTTTAATGTTATAAACTCCGTATAAGAAAACTTCTTAATTTAGAATAGGGAATTAACATACGTGTCCTCCGTAGTAAGTTGTGATCCAGTGTATTCGGGGTTGAACCCCGTAGGAATAGTTGCAATATTCCAAGTATTGGTTCATGTCGAAATGATCAGGAACGAACATTGTGTCGTTATTGTACCCCGTCCAAATTGGTATCACCATTTCAGTACAAGTCTGCATGCATGCGGTACACAAATAAAAAGCTAGAATTTGTGTAATGTATATAGCATTAAATGTTACTTCCGTTGTAACAAAAAAAATATAGCATTAAATGTTTGAACAATTTAACGCAAAGTATGAATTGACTAAACGGATTCAAAGACTAAACTAAGGTTACACACATGGTTTGAAGTAGTGGCACGCTACCGCTATAGCGGCCACTAAATAGCGGTCGCGGTAGGGGCCGCTACCGCTATGGCCCGCTATTCGTGTGTGATTTTCAAATCATGGGAAAAATCCACTACGCCGCCCGCTTTAGCCCGCTATTGACATTTGCGGCAGTACATCACGAACTGTTTGCTTGATGTGTAAATGTGTAAATGTTGTGTGAATGATGTGAAAAAATACATTAATGGTGATGCATAGAGTGAAACTCAAAATTAAATATTGTGTGAATGATGTGAAATAACACATTTATGTTTTCCGCAATTGAAAATATTTCACGCCGTTGCAACCGCTACAGTCGGCTACAGGCCGCTACCGCGATGACCGCTACCGCTACCGCTGCCGCTACGGCTATTTAAAACCTTGGTTACACACAAGAATAAAATAAATGCCAAAAAACAAGAATACCCCCGACACATGCATGCTTCCCTCTGCTCAGGGCTTATGAAGACGACAAGCGCAACATCCTTTGTGCTCTACCGGATCAGATATCCATCAGGGTTTAATGCCGGCACAATGAATTTCCTTGTTATCTCCACATTAGTGATTGAACCATCAAAAGGTGACTCAGTATAATATTGTTGAGACACTACGACAAATGGATGAGGGACTTCTCCTCTATCTGTCGTAGCTGAGCAAAGAAAATGGTCATGGGATGTGTCATGACAGTTTTCGGGTGACATGTAGTGGTGGTCGTCATGGGATCGACCGTTAGAGTGTTCAGTCTGGTTCGAGAAGAGATCATGGGATCGACGGCGATGGACTTGAGATCCAATCTCAGCTCATTGTTGTTGTGGGATCAACGGTGACATAATTGAGATCCAATGTCATTGTTGTTGTTATTAGTGCATCGCTTCTCCTAAAAAATCTATAACTATAGGCTATGGAAGCTACCGACTGGACAGATTCTTGCATGTAGTGGTCATGGGATAGACCATTAGACAGTGGCGGACGGTGTATTGTTCAAGGTGACTATACACCGTTAGACAGTGGCGGACGTGATCTATAACAATGAATAACAAGGAAATTCATTGTGGCGGACGGGATCTATAACAATGAATAACAAGGAAATTCATTGTGCCAGCATTAAACCCTGATGGATATCTGATCCGGTAGAGCATAAAGGATCGAACCATCAAAAGGTGACTCAGTATAATATTGTTGAGACGCTATGACAAATGGATGAGGGACTTCTCCTCTATCTGTCGTAGCTGAGCAAAGAAAATGGTCATGGGATGTGCCATGAAAGTTTTCGGGTGACATGTAGTGGTAGTCATGGGATCGACCGTTAGAGTGTTCAGTCTGGTTCGAGAAGAGATCATGGGATCGACGGCAATGGACTTGAGATCCAATCTCAGCTCATTGTTGTTGTGGGATCAACGGTGACATAATTGAGATCCAATGTCATTGTTGTTGTTATTAGTGCATCGCTTCTCCTAAAAAATCTATAACTATAGGCTATGGAAGCTACCGACTGGACAGATTCTTGCATGTAGTCGTCATGGGATAGACCATTAGACAGTGGCGCACGGTGTATTGTTCAAGGTGACTATACACCGTTAGACAGTGGCGGACGTGATCTATAACAATGAATAACAAGGAAATTCATTGTGGCAGACGGGATCTATAACAATGAATAACAAGGAAATTCATTGTGCCGGCATTAAACCCTGATGGATATCTGATCCGGTAGAGCATAAAGGATCGAACCATCAAAAGGTGACTCAGTATAATATTGTTGAGACGCTACGACAAATGGATGAGAGACTTCTCCTCTATCTGTCGTAGCTGAGCAAAGAAAATGGTCATGGGATGTGCCATGACAGTTTTCGGGTGACATGTAGTGGTAGTCATGGGATCGACCGTTAGAGTGTTCAGTCTGGTTCGAGAAGAGATCATGGGATCAACGGCAATGGACTTGAGATCCAATCTCAGCTCATTGTTGTTGTGGGATCAACGGTGACATAATTGAGATCCAATGTCATTGTTGTTGTTATTAGTGCATCGCTTCTCCTAAAAAATCTATAACTATAGGCTATGGAAGCTACCGACTGGACAGATTCTTGCATGTAGTGGTCATGGGATAGACCATTAGACAGTGGCGGACGATGTATTGTTCAAGGGTGTTCACCTGAACACCCAGAACTTTCCACCGTTTAGTACTATGGGTATACTCAGCCAGTCATATCCCAAGGTAGAAGTCCAAACCTGCGTTTTGGATCTTCCGAAATTGTGTTTGGCATTTAATTTAGTTTTGGCAATTGTCAGTTCATTCGCAAGTGGTACTTTAGTATTTAATTTTGTTGAGGATCGATTCCGTCACCGGATTCCGGCTCAGGCAGTCCGGACGTCGGTTTTCCGGTTGTCTCTTGTGCATACATAGGCTAAGGGAGCAACACACCTTTCTAGCCTCGCCAACACCTCACTTCTACTCACTTCTACTCACTATCAAGTTCTCACACAAAGGAAACTCAAGGAGGAAGAAGACTGGTTTTGGGTGAAGTATCTCTCGTACGCTCCACTCTCTACAACAAGGGTGCAGGGGCTGTCCTTATAGCATGGGTTTCTTGGTTCTATTAGAAGGACACTCAAATAATACACTACACACACAACTCATCACTAGGCAATAATGAGTTCAGTATTTTGAATTCTAACGGGAGAGGAAAATATTGATAAGCCAGATAGATAAATGGGTACAATGTAGTGGGCCGCTAGAAAGTTTGTTGACCATTATTAATATACAAAAAAACGTTTGGGCCAACAATATATTAACAAATTTAGTATTGGCAATTGTCAGTTCATTCCACAATCTAGCGCTTTGGTCTAAACAGTGGTACTAGCTAGTGCAGTACTGAAATTGTGTTTGGCATTTAATTTAGTACTAGTACATTTTTTTAATGTATGATTTTTGATGAATTAGTTTGTAATAATTAACATTGAGTATGATTATTGCAATAGTTTTAATTTTAACTTAGGTCCGAACAACCAAAATGTAAAGCCTAGATCCGCCACTGCCATTAGAGTGTTCAGTCTGGTTCGAGAAGAGGTCGTTCTAATTCCTAATGCAAGAGATTCTTAGGGCTATTTCTCGTTTCATCTCCTTTTTTATTGCCTTAAATATTTTTAATGTTCTGTCATCATTCTTGCTCGTTGATTCTCCATGCGATTGAATAATATTTGGTAATAAAATTTAAGGATATGTGGTTAATATTTGTGTAGATGAGAGCAAACATAATAAGAATCACAAACTTAATACTTACTGGTGAGTGATATGATACCTCACAAGTAAATGATAGTATCACACCTATAGTACATTTAATTTGAGTGGTTTAAGTCATTATATCATCATTTATTAATATTCAAATTGATCATCGTAGACAATGCACAGTACCTTGAAGGCACCATAGAATTTTGGCCTTACTTAAAAGGGAATGTGAGTATGACACCAAGACTTAGAAAAGATTCTTTTATTTTGGTTGTAGTTTCTATCTATTTTGTGAAATGTCAACATCCTTTACTAAGATAAATTTTGAATCCGTGACCTCCTCCTTGACACTGATCGATGTGATTAAACTACAAAGTGTTTGACCAAAACTAAGAAAAGATGACTTAGGGTTTGTTTGCAACTCCTTTTAAAAAAGCACTTCTCAGCTTTTGGCTTTAAAAAAACACTTATTTTCCCAAACACTACAACTTTTATTTTTCTCGGCTTCTGCGTCAAAAGTGCTTTTACTTTTTCTATTACACAAAAAGCACTTATTTTACCAAACACTACCCACTTTTACTTTTTAAAATTACTTTTTTCTCAAACATTATGAACTTTTATTTAATCACTTCTCCCAATTTCATTAAAAAAACACTTTTCTAAAAGAAGAAGCTGTTGCAAACAGACCCTTAGTTATAAAGGCGAAATTAGTAGTTATTTGTTATTTGGTTATTGTTTCATATGGTTTGCCAATTAATTCTTCTTATCAGGTTTGTTTTACGTTTTACTTTTCATTGAGTTAATTTTATTACCTAATAGGAGTAAAAGGTAGTCCACAATCACAAACAACATTGTTTTTTATTTACTTGTATGACTAATTATGTGTGTATGGACATATATACCCTTGTAGCTTTTTAAATGTTTTAATTCATAAACAAATCATAAAAATAATAAAAAATTAATGAAATATTTTTTAAATAAAAATTAATTTTAAAAAACAATAAAAAATTAAAAGAAAAAAAGAAAAAAAATCACCGCCGCCTCTGCCACCCCCAGCACCACCACCTCTAGTCACCGGAAAAAAACAATGCCGCATGCATTAGTAATGCCCTATTAATGGTAGATTCAATGAAAATTTTGGTATTATCAAAGAGTAATATGTCATTTTTTGGCATTTTCATAAAAATGGATTTTTTTACAAAAACAGGATTTTTTTAGACCGGTCAGAGGTGGTGGTGCGGATAGGCAATAGAGGCAGTGGGAAAGGCATCCATTTTTTCAAAAAAAATTTATGTTCTTTTAATATTTTTTATTATTTTTTAAAATTTTTAATTTTTTTAAAATATTTTTTTAATAAATATTTTATGAAGGTTTTATTATTTTCCAGGATTTTTTTTTTCAATTTTATTATGAATTAATACACTTAGGGATTTTTACGGTACAATATTAATGTTTAGTCCTATTTGCGAATGATTTAGGGGTATAGTTCTAGTTGTGATTTTTGACCTAATTTTAATCTTATTAAGGGCAATACTTTTTTTCATTAGTAAGGCCCCTAGGCTACTCCTCAGTCCTCACGCATTATTATCCCATAATCTTCACGAGCGAAAGCTACTTAAAACGAAGTTTATTAATTCAACAAATGAACTACTAATCCGAGATTCGAAAGATGAAACATGTCGGTATGTACCTGGAATAATTGAAAACTATCAATGTAACACCCAAATTGACATGACTTTTTATTATTTTATTATTTTAAAATTTTAAAATATTATTTAGTTTATGAAAACAATAAACTTTTATGAATAAAATTAGCAAAGGAGTTAATAAAACATTTAATAAATCAAAAAAATATAAGTGTGCGGATTATCATAGTCGATATCCAAGCTTGGGGTACGGCATAAGATCATTTCCATCTTTTTTCTTGACCAAAAGCTTCGATTTATTGCTCAACAAAAGGAATTAAGATGTACTAGTATTAGGGCATTGAAATCGACCAAACATTATACGGAGTATATTTACTTACTTGCCAATCCCATGCAATGTTGGTGGGATCAGAAGACGGAATGTCATAACACGAAAAGTTTCCTGAATAGGCCATGACGCCGGCTTGTATGCGACCAAGAATATCAGTCCCTTTGGGCTCACCGTCTATGCCACCGCACACCTTCGTCACCGGATACTCCGGTGTAGCGTCATATTGAGCGGCAACGATATATATGACCTCCAAGTAATTCTTCAGCTCCGCCGCATTGTCTGACGAATTTAATTTCCTAACCCAAAATAAATTACTTTTCACTAATTAAACTTACTCATACTATGTATGCTTTTATTCTTAAATAAAATGCTTTTATTTAGTCAACAAATTATCAATTGAATATAATAATGAGAGAATTCCCTAAATAGGAGTAAAAACGTTTTGAAATTCCAAAATAGGAGTATCATGTTTTTTATTCCTTGAATAGGAGTAATCTGCCAAGTTTGGAAGAAAATGCCATGTTTAAAAGCATTGTAATGCCAAACTTGGCAGAAATTTACTCCTATTCAGGGAATAAAAAACACGATACTTCCATTTTGGAATTTCAAAACGTTTTTACTCCTATTTAGATCAATTTTTCTATAATAATACATAAAGAGAGTATACGTAGTATATTATTCAGGGAAACACGGAAAATTTCCCTAAATCAAAGAATTCTAACATTCAAAAAATATGTTCACTATCAGTAAGAGATTTAAAAAAGAGAAGTGGTCCCGGATAGGACTAAAAATAACTTTGCATAACCAAATAAGACTGGAATGTTTTTAATACCTGAATATATGGGTGGGCAAAAATACCGAACCGGCGTGGTACTGAAACAAAAAGCGGGTTTTGAAACGGATCTCAAATATTTGTACCGATCAAACCGGACCGTACCGATTCTAAACAATGTCATGACCTGTTCTCATAAAATGAGAACCGCTACCGAACCGAACCGGACCGAAGTATTTATAATTAATTAAATTTACATTTATACCATTATTGTGACTAGTGCCTTCACACTTTCAGGCTTTCAACGCCTTTGCTAGTTCATAGGAAGTGTGGAACCAGATCGATGTAAGGTTTAATTATTTAAATTAGTACTACTATAGTTTATCTGAAATTTATTAATTATGTAATACTACCGCAGTTCCAAATTGATTTCCAAAATTAACTTTTCATGGTTAAATAATTTCATTTCATTCACTTAATTAGGATGTCAAATTTTAATTATATTTAATTTCGAGTTTGCAACTCTGAAGAGATTTTAATGTAGTTTTTGAATACGTAAATTTTAATTGTTAAAAATTGAATTAATTATCAATTAAGAGGATTTAACTAACATTGGTTGACAAAAAATTATTGAATTTGCATATCAATTTGGAATGGAGAGAGTAGGAAAATTGATAAATTTTGTGGATTTTTGGAGGATGTCTAAACTTTAATTAGCCTTAAACACTAGAAAAAAGTATCATTGTTTGGTATTGGTATGAAATGGTACCGTCCCGTTTGAAAATGGAATCGTACTGATTGGGTTTAGGCGTAAGACCGAAGCGAACCGAACAATTTGAATAATAACGGTACGGGTACGGATTCACCCAAATATTAGACCAGACCGGGCCACGCCCACCTCTAGCTAAATACCGCCATTTATATGTTTACTCCCTATTTTGCTTCGATTTCATTTTTCTCGATTGCTTCCGCCGTTCGTCTCTCGCCCTTTCCCCAAAATCAGGGAATATGATTCTTTTTCCTCTATACACAGTGGCGAAGTTGGGAGGGGCGGTGGAGTTACAAGAGCAACGGTGACACTGCCGACAGAGTTGGAAGGGAGACGGCGGCAGATCTGGAGTTTTCATCTCTAGAATTTTCTTCTTCTTTACTGGTGTATCTGCCGCCGACCTAGGTTTCTTTTTCATATTTTTTGTGATTTCATTTTTCATCTCTACAATTTTCTTCTTCTTTACTGGTGTATCTGCCTTCGACTTAGGTTTCTTTTTCATATTTTTTGTGATTTCATTTTTCATGCTCTTTTGGTTCTGTATGTTGATGGTGGTTTTTTGGTGGTTTTATTTTTACTTTTTTATATGCAATCTCCTTGTTTGCTGGTGTCCTTTGTGTTTTTTTATTTTTAAGAAAGTTCTAACTAAGTTGTTTTGTTGATTCAAATTCAATTTGAATTGTAATTTTTAAATAAATGTTTTAGAACTTAATATGCGTTTGTTGACATTTTAAGCCAATAAATAAAGTGTCCCCTAATTGCCGAATCAAATTACGCTATAAAAAGTTTTGAGATTAAAAAACCTTTATCTATCGTACATTTAAAATGTTTTTTAATTATACATATGCAATATTGATGTCATATGAAAGATAATAAAAATCATGAATTTTGATATAATTTTTATAAAAATTGAATTACAAATTAAAAAGTTTTATCAATTTTAAAAATAGAGAGATTTTTGTGTTGGGGTCCAATGAAGTGATAGCTCAGTTATTGTTTGTAAAATTCTCCAACATATGTACTCACGTAGCCAGGGCCGGTCCTGATATTTTATGGGCCCGGGGCGATTGAAAAAAGAAGGCCCTTAAAAGGTTATATAAATATATTGCAATCACCGATTATGAGCACTTTTCTGGGCAGCTAATAAGTAAAGATAAGAGTTTCTACCTTATTTCTAAACATGCCAATCACCACTCTTTCAGGATTATTGAAAATATTTTCAAAGTTAAAAAGAGTTCTTTTCCTTTTACTTACTTGGGGGCAAACATTTATATTGGTCGCACTCTCAATTCTTACTTTGAGCATATTTTGGATAAAATTGACAATAAACTCTCTGGGTGGAAGCACAAAATGCTTTCACCTGGTGGTAGAATTATTCTTATTCACCATGTTCTTAGTACTATCCCTTTGTACCATATGGCTGTCTCCCCCATTCCCCGTAATACTATTTACAATATTGAGAGAAAACTCTCGAATTTTCTATGGGGTAATAACTTAGACAAGCATAAACATATTTGGCGTAGTTGGGACAAATGTTGCTACCCGGTTAATGAAAATGGATTAGGCTTTCGTCGTTTAGCCGACATCCAAAAACATTTTTCCTTAAACTTTTATGGAAAGCAAATGTTAACACGGGAATTTGGGCTAATTGGTATAATAAGCTTAGGGATAGTACTCATTCTATTATGTACAAGTCCCTTGATTCTGTAAGCCATATCTTTGAGGATAATTGTAGAGTCCAGGTTAATAATGGTGCTAGTTCTTTTTGGTTCTCTAATTGGTGTGATATTGGTCCTATTTATTTGCATTTTGATGATATCCCAATCAATCTTAGCCAAATTACCATTAGAAATGCTATCACCGATGGCACACTTAATATGGCCCTTTCAAACTGCCTTCCCAGATACCTTAGAGACAAGATAAATGACACCAAAGTCCATTTCACAACCTGTGAGGATGGCTACCTTTGGAAACCCACCTCAAATGGCAAATTCAGTTTTTCTAGTGCCTATGATGCGATAAGGCCTAAAATGAATGTTACGAATACTTCTAATTATATTTGAAATGGTCGAACTGCAAAAAAAATTTCTTTTTTATTATGGAGACTTGCTAATGATCTGCTCCCTTTTGAAAATCAACTTAGGCAGATCGGCGTTGTCGGACCTCATAAATGCCCGGTTTGTCCCTTTAATGATACCATTGACCACTTCTTTTTATCTTGCAACCTTGCAAAATCTATTTGGCATCATTTTGAAATATCTTTAAATTTCAAACCTGGTTCTACCCACTCCATAAATCCTTACCTTGCTGACTGGTACAACAACTATAAGGGCAATATTAAGGATTTTAACTATGTCCTTCCAAATACCATTGTTTGGAATCTTTGGAAGTATCGTAACAAAATTATCCATTATGGTAATCATGTCACTTTGTCTGAGGCAATTTATACTATTAAATCTGACATATTTGCCATTTCTAATGCTAAACCTTTCATAATTACTGGACCAAACACCATTTTCACCATTTGCACCACAGTCACGCATAAGACCAAAAACGTCCCTAGCACCAAGGCGTGGAATAAACCGCCCCCAAACTACCATAAGATCAACATTGCTACTCGGGTTTTGACTCCATCTGTTCTAAGAACTGCTGCCCTTATCCGTAATGATAAGGGTTTTTACGTTGCCCACAAGGTTCACACCACCGCACACCAGGATCAAATCCTTGCTTCCTATGACGCCATTATTGATAATATTATCAACATCAAGAATACTAATGTGACTAATTTCATTCTTGAAGTTGATAATAGAAACATTTACGAGGGTCTCACTGGGATATCTGCTCAACATTGGAGATACTGGCCGAGACTCCACAATATCAAGCAAAGACTCAAGAATCATAATTGTGTGATCACTTTCATCCACCCGAGGATCAATCGCGCAACTGAGTATTTAGCTCATAGGAGTGTTTCTATTCATACCACGACTCATCATTTCAATCATTTTGTTGGTATCTTAAAATTTGATGCTGTTAGTTATCCCTCTATGTGTTTGATCCTGAGTAGGCATTGGTCTAGTCCTCTTACTCAATGTATGCTGTTCCATCTTTTTCTAATAAATAGGTAGGGTGTTTCCTGGCCCCTACCCCGAGAAACCAAATAGTTTCTTGGTCGAATACTGGGGTTTGAAAATATATATATATATATATATATATATATATATATATATATATATATATATATATATATATATATATATATATATATATATATATATATATATATATTGCAAAAGCTTAACTTTATATATGCAAATTTCAACATACAAAGTAATGTAAGTCTTTCATCAAAGTCTTAATATATAAACTAAACGAATAAAAGTTATATTAAAAAATAAAAAATAAAACCAGAGAATTACTTGTGAAATTGAAATTTCAAATTTGGAAGATATTTTCGAGAAAATTAGGAGAGTGTTGATTGCTGAGCAAAACGAATTAAAGTCCAAAGATGAAACCTTGAAATTAGGCCTGCCTAACGGGAAATGATGTCAGACCGGGGCCATTTGAGGCCCTTCCCGATAGAATTTTTTCATGAAACTTTTTAAATATATTCTTCATGAAATCTATAATATCTCCACAAAGTTTCAGATTAAAATTCAACCTGAAAGTCAGTTAAATAAATTATTGAAAGATAGTGCGCATTATTTATATACACAAAGCGCAATGTGTTTCAATATTTTATTTAACTGACTTCCTGG